TATGTCATGTAGAGTTACGTGAAATCCATTTGGCTTCATCCTCTTTCTCAATGTTCTTGTGGTTAGTTTTCTAAGAAGTATTTGTCACAAATCTTTAATCAGATTTGAGTTTTGCGGATTACCGAGAAAATCAGAAATATATTACGAAAATGCCATCGACTTTGATTAGATCGATTGCTGTTTCGAGGTAGCCGGAGCCGATCAAGACGACGCGGCGGTGGAATCGAAAGCTGAAATCAGATATTCGGTATACCGGAACTTGATAATTATCCAAGATTGGTGGGTGCTTCTTCTCGTACGTGTATGCTCAAAGTTGAAGAGTTTAGTGACATGGTTCTCTACGACTCTCTGATCAATTTATCCAGTCCTTGCCATTACAATTTGGTGGTGGATGCGTGTACGAGCTCGTCCGAGACGCGTCGAAGGAGAAACCACGGGAGATATGAGACGAGGTATTTATTTGCATACAAAGTGTTCGATGAAATGTTTAAGAGAAATGACATTACCTACATTTTTCACATGGTTACTTACAACTCTTATTTTTTGGTTTTATACAGAGGATAGTTAAGCTGTTGCCTAGGACTGTCACCATTTTTCAAACATGTTTTATAGGATTTTTGTTTTCGTAAACTATTAAAATTGTACCTATGACCACGAAAAATTATCCACGATAGTCCGTACACAAAAATCTGACCACGAACATATATGATCAATATGTTTAATCTATATACTAAAAATACAAAGATAAAAATTAACAATTTGTACACGAAAATCTGACCATAATGCTTTGTACACTAAAATCTGACCACGAACATATAAGATCAATATGTTCAATCCTTATACTAAAAATACAAAGATAAAATTAACAAATTGTACACAAAATTCTGACCATAATACTTTGTACACTAAAATCTGACCATGGCTTGCTTTAGCATATAATAATGGTGAACCTATCGAAAAACAACATAATACCATCCACGCTAACTTGTCCACGATACTTTATAGATGCCCATATAACAATACAATGTAAACTAATTATAATTTGTCCACACAAACTTATCTACGATAACTATATAATTTTTTTTCATTTGTGAAGCATATTTGACTTCGATAAAAAGGGATGGTACACAGATATCTATGCTAGTATATCCACCGCAACCCATCCACATATACGTAATATTACAAACAAGCGACCATGGATATGTTATCATTAAAACAAAAAAACATATAAACTTAGGACGATACAAAAGACAAACACTTGATAATCAATCCTACCAAATTTATGTGGTTTTAAGCTCAGCCTGCAATCTCTCTCTTCTCTTCTTCATCTTTTTATGTAGAACCAATAATATTTCACACTAAAAATAACAAAAAAAACCTCTTTGGATTTTGAGATCTATTAGACGGACGGGAAGACAAACGTCGGAGAAATCAATGAATCAATGGGTGAGAATTTAATAAGAGTTTTACAAGAATGAAAGAAGAAAGGAGTACGTGGATTATTTTTGAGATTTTTGATGGTGAAGAGACAGAAAGCGAAACCAAATGATTCTCTTTTTGTTACAAAAAATAACTAAATATTTTTATTCTCAACTTATAGTAAGAGTAAAAGGGTCAAACAACATAACATATTTTAGAGAAAGTGCCTTCAGGATGACAAAGTATCTATATGTGTAAGAGGTTTGTAATAAAGTGTCAATAAATGTAATTATTCCTAGATGCTATGTGTTGGTGTGGTCGTAATCATACTATTTGGATTTAAACCTGTATATAAGTTGTTGAAAAACAAAAAAGTTAGTGACACTCTCTCCATAACGAGCACCAAGGAATTTCTGACGAATTACATACACATTTTGTTATATTGGGTACAAAATCAATTCGACTAAGTTGGCCCACTAAAGTTTTTCTTATCTTGGCCCAATTATAAGCCCACTTTTGGGATTGCAACATAAAACCCTTAGAACAAACATGTTATAAAAGTGGCGGCTTTATAACAAATTAGGGTTTCGCGTTACGAGAAGGAGAGAAAAAGCTCACTCATACAAAAGCAGACACCTTCTCTTGGCGCCGCCTCCATCAATCTCATTGTAATCATGGTAAATCTCTAAACCCAAATAACCGATTTCGTCATTTCGAAATGCTGTGTTGAATCGAATGGTAAAAATTGACATTTTTCTCGCATTTTGCAGATCATATCAGAGAAGAATCGCCGTGAGATCTCCAAGTACCTCTTCAAAGGTACGATCTTTATCTCGAGCTTGAATCTAGTGATGTTGTTGGCTTATGGGTTTTTGCATTTGAAGACAAATAGCCATTGTTTGATTCGTTGGGGTTTTTGTGCAGAGGGTGTTTTGTTTGCGAAAAAAGATTTCAATCTGCCGCAACATCCTTTGGTCGAAGGAGTTCCGAATCTGCAAGTTATTAAGTTGATGCAGAGTTTCAAATCCAAGGAATATGTGCGTGAGACATTTGCTTGGATGCATTACTACTGGTTCCTCACTAATGAAGGCATTGACTTTTTGAGGACTTACCTTAATCTTCCATCTGAGATTGTTCCTGCTACTTTGAAGAAGAGTCAGAAGCCTCTTGGCCGACCTATGGGAGGCCCACCTGGTGACCGACGGTAACTTACTTGAATCTTTGGTTCCGTTTCCATGACCATTGTGATTGAATCTGCCATTGAAGTTTGTCATTTCTACAATTGAATCTGCTCGAGAGTGTAATGGTTGGTTACTTGTAAAGAGTTATTTGTGACTGTTTTGGTTTGTTTTTACAGTGGCCCACCTCGTTTTGAGGGAGAGAGGAGATCTGGTGACAGAGATGGATACCGTGGAGGTTCAAGATCAGGTGGAGAGTTCGGTGACAAGAGTGGAGCTCCTGCTGATTACCAGCCATCCTTCAGGGTACTATCTCTATTCCTCCTTATTCACAGTGAATTGGGTCGTTAATACTTACTCATTACTTGAATTCATCTTGAACTCTTTAGTGGCGCATTAGTATCCTTCTTGCTTAGGTTAATTTTGAGGAAACTTCACAAGCCACTGTTTATCGACAACCTTTTGTGCTCTTAGGTTCCCTAAATATTATCTACTAGGCTTTAGTATCCTGCTTGCTTAGCTTAATTTTGAGTAAACTTCTCAAGCCACTGTTTATCGACAACCTTTTTTTCTTTTAGGTTTCCTTAATTTTATTCTACAGGCTTTAGTATCCTGCTTGCTTAGCTTAATTTTGAGTAAACTTCTCAAGCCACTGTGCCTCGTCAACTTTTTGTGTTCCTAGGTTCCTTAAATATTATTTGCAATGCCACTAAGACCTGCTTAAAATGATTTTGTGGACTCTTTGAGCAGTTACTCGCTACACCAGTATCTTGTGTAAATTGCTTTAATCTTTTGTGCATTTGTCTTCCCCAAATACTCTGCCACTAAGTTTTTACTCATTCCATTCTATCTGAAACCTCTATTTCGTGAGTTTTGGGCTCATCATCACAAAATTGCTTGTATGAATCAAACATCTTTTTTGTAGAAACTATGAGATTGCGTCTTTATCTTTTCTTATGTGGGTGTGTTATTCAGGGACCTGGAGCTAGGCCCGGGTTTGGCCG